CCACCCTTGATGATGACCAGACTACACCCACTTATGATTATAAAAATAACCAAAGACTCCTCTCCATTTCTGGATTCGAAAAAACACGAGCCGAAGGAGCTCATGTAAGCCACCGGCCACAACCTCTTCTTCTATTTGTTTCGCATGACAGAGACGAAACTTCCCATTCCTCACACTCGCTCTCAACCTCACCAAAGCCACTCCTCTTCGCTGTTTAGAAACGAGGTTTAAGCCTCTTCGCATTGAAGCCAAAATCCAAAGCAGAACCTCAAGCACATGATTTCCTCCCAGCTCGCACGCAGGTAGCGAGGAGATCAACGATGGGATTGCTGCAGACGAGACCTCAGAACCTCCCCATTTCACTGCTCTGTACGCCAAAACAGGAACCACAAGGGCCCTACCCCACCTTCCCTTCATTTGTGTGGCACCCAATCACGGCACAGTCCCGATTAAAGCTAAGTCGGAAAGCAACAACGGGATCGTGAGGCCCAAATTCCTATGAAACCAACTTCATCTCAAGCAGCAACACAAACACCCTCGCCAATGCACTCGCCCGGTCGCCCCTCTTCATTACTCCTCTGATTTCTCCCGCTCTCCCTCTCTCCTGACGCCGAAAGCTAACAAGTGGGTAGGCTTCTCTCTCACAGTGACTCATGATGACGGCGAACATCCTCACGCCCGCACGTGGACGCTCCTAGAGAGCATTGGTCCGATGTGATTTCCTACCTTGTGAATTTGAGATTGTGTTAAGGCCACCATCAATATGACGGCTGCATAAGACGGATGATTGGAAGCCGAATTACGTTGACTCTCTTTAATTGCCCAAGAGAAGATTCTCTGATTTTACTGCTTGGTTTAAGATTCTAGATGCATTACCCAAGATCTTGATAGACACGCCAAAGCCACCACTCCGTAAACAAGAACAAAGAAAGGGGCAACTTATTTCAAATTCGAATGAGAAATCTCAGATATGGCTCCAGAAATCCATCCAGCAGTTCATCCAATAAAGAGTCTGCATTTTGCTTCTAAATTCAAGCGATGGGTTAGGAAGCACCCTTCAGTCAGATATGGCATGCACCTCATTTCGCTCACAGTGCTGGGCACAGTCAGTCTTGCTCATCTCATACGGGGCAGCAAAGAAGTTACAAAAGAGAAAGATGATCTAGAGTGGGATATTATAGAAAAAACCAAAGCATTGACAAGAACTGGCCCTACAATGGGCTATAATCCAATGAAAATTGCATTGGAAGAGGAGCTGAAGGCTTTGCAAGAGAAGGTTTACATTAATAACTATGAATACAAGAGAATTCTGAGCCATAGGAAACGATATAAATTAGAAGTGATGGTGAGCGTGTACTGGCTTGGAATCTTGACAGCAAAAAGCGCATTGCAGTAGTTAAGGAGAGTGATACTTCATGTGACGCGGGAGCTATGGAGGACCAACCAATCCTCAAAGGGAGGGGGGCTACCACTCCTCTCTTCCCCTTCTCTTTCTCTTTTATTTTCCTCCCTTTGTTTTCTTTCCTTCCTAGCACTTTCATATTTTAAATACTTTCCTAAAATTTAAAACCTTGATTATATTTTATTCTCTTTTTTTTATTTTAAAACCTTTCTTATTTTAATTTTTTTCCAAAATTTAAATGTTGCTTACTTTATTTACCCTTTCCTAAATCTGATTTTCCCTCACTTTATTTCCTCACCTAAATATGAAATCCTGACTTGATTCTTCTCTCTTATTTAAAGTACCGTCTAAAATAAAATCCTAGTCTTATTAAAAATAGAGGATGATGTGCTTACAGTTATGGGTTTTGTTTTTTATATCTGAAATCAAGTTTTAGCCTTGGTATTTTCCCCTTAGAGAGTTGTATCCGACATCAAGGTAGTGCTTTGATTGTCCCTCGTCCGAGGTGGTGATTGTCTCCACAGGTCCGGGTGGTGCTCCGGCTGTAGCTTGACCCCGGCAAGATGTTTATTTATCCTTCCACCATTTCGGCGGCTGTCCACCCATTTCCCAGCCCTACAGTAGGCCACTGTACCTCTTCCCCAAAAACTACCGGCTGCTATCCTCCCTCCAACCTGCTGCCAAC